AGGGGGCGTAACTCGTCGGACTTGCCTATTGTAGTATGGGATGGGCAAGTATGTAAATTGGTGAAAATTAAGAAGTTCACTTATTTTTTTAATCTGTAGTTGAAGTTCAGTTTTTATTTATCGTAGTTAAATTTCAACGCGTCTTTAATTGCACGATTTCTACAAATGCCACTTTATTTTATGTCTAATATTGTTCTCCTGTATTTCTCATCCAGAATGGAACATTCTAATCTGAGGTCAAACAAGCAACATGGCGGCCATGAGGTTACCTCACCGGTGCCGGCTGCTGTGGAAAAATACATGTTCTAAAGTTAATCTAACGAACGACGTGATAATTAATTTGCCGAAATCGTCCTGTATATCACGGAGTAGCAGTATATGTAATGGTATTTCGGAACGTCATATGGTATGTTGCTTTCTCTGTTTGTCGTCTGCTGAGTCGAAATCTGTCCTCATCTAATCGACGAAACGAACCGTCATAACGTAACATTGGTCACACACGTAATATCAATCATTGCTCGTATCAATACCAAAATTAACACAAGACTGTGATACAACGGTCACAGTCGTGCCCCATTAACGTTTACTCTATCTCGCTGCATTACAACATTCCTCTATACTTGTATATTTGATTTTGACCTTGTATTCAAGTTTGTGAGACTGAGACTGAGAGGTCAAAAATCACCACCTGCTTTTCTTTATGACAAATTAATCAAAACTAAAAAACATACTATAATTTGGACCCATTTCAATGAATAGTCGAACATATAAAATATTTAAATAATTGCGACCATAAATGTTTTCCTCATAGTTATAAATTTTACTGTACCCAGTCCCAATGAGGGGGGGGGGGGGTGTCGTCTGGTATCTTATGTAAGAAATAGACAAGGGATGAAGGCTCCAGTGAGCTCATATTTTGCAAACTGGAAGAAACAGACAAACAGAATGAAAAATAAAATCTATAAAAAATACCAGGTTGAAGAATATTAGTTGCTCTTTCAAATTCCGCCAAAGCCTTACCTAACAATAAAATATTACCTATTTACATGTATATCATAAAAAACACCTGTAGTTACATGAGCATATGTATAAATAGTATGTATTTGTGAGACAGCTTCATTAGGATAGCCTTGATATATTTGTAAATAAAATCAAAACACATTTTTGTTTCTTCAACAGGCCAAGCACTTATATCCAAGTGATTATATTTCATTGAAAAACACAAGGTAAGAAAGTAATTTTATCATTCTTCAACCTAAAATGTCATTATCACTAACAAAAAATCAGATTGCAATGATGAACAATGAGGATGTGGTCTATAGTGGACTCAAACATTATCACTTGAAAAGTTGTATAGGCTTAAAATATCACCGAATTATCTTTAGAAGATAGAATGATCAATCAAAGTTGTTTTTCTTTTTGTTGAAAGTTGGAGAATAAGTATATGTTTAAAATGTATTGAAGAGAAATTACATGACTTGATCCTGAACACACCTATTTTTTCAGGCTAAAACTCTATTTACTATCAGGTCAAAATAGATTTGTTCTGTACTGTGCATTTCAGTTTGAAAGATGTGCATCACAGCTGTAGCTTTGGATTACCAATTTAAGTAAACTTTGTCATATTTCACAAAATAAACATGCACAATTTTTTCCATATTTTTGTCCAAATTTGTTAGAAAAATTAGTAGCTAATAAGAAATTATTTTCACCTGGTACAAAATTAAAAAAGAAGGAATCATTGATTCGAAAATACATAAAACTGTGAAAAAAGATTCACCCGTTTTATGATATTGCTGACGCAGTCTAAAGTATTCTATATCCAGTCAGTCCACCAAGGTGAGGGCACAGTAATTCTTCCATATCTATTAGACTAGTCTTGACTATTTATTACATGCAGATATCCTATACAAAGTGTACTGTCATGAAATTACATTGTATTGCTCATTTTCAATGGGATACCACATGTGATAATCAGATTTATGCTGTGTAGTTTAGCTTTTTTGTATTTTCCATTGGATTCTAGACATTTTTGAGTGCCATTCACACAAAAAATAGTTTTATTTATAGTGTACTCTTTTCCACATAAAATGTTGCAAACATTTCAAATTTTTGGATCAAAAACTAGTCACATTGTTTGTCTGGTCAAAAATTGAAATCAAATTCAGTAAAAATTACAGAAAATCTGAACAGATTTCCGCAAATTTAATTAGGAAAAAAAATGTGGCACTCACAGATTTAAAATGTCACCATGGGTGATGAAGGGTGCTAGTTTACCTAAATCCACATAAAATATATAACTTCTCTATATTGACACACTATATCAACTTACTGTGAAAGCAGATTTGCCAACTTTCTACAAAGATCCGTAGCACTTTCAATGTGTTGTATGAAATTCTTGCAATTTTAAACACGAAAAACATTTTGCACTCGTTGGACTGAGATTATCACCATGGGTGATGAAAGGTGCTACTGATAATTTGAATAAATCTACATGAAATGCAAAGTATATAACTTCTCTATATTAACCCTAACCATTTTTTGTACCAACAGATATTTTTGTACAAATTCTAGTCCTAAAGAAGCAGTAACTGATCCAACAAAACTAACAGAATCTGAACTTTCACAAGTTTGTACAAATATTAAAAAAGTAAGTATTCATAAATTCAATTACTGACATATATTTGTACACATGGATATTAACTTTATAAAAGGTCATAGTCTTCAGTTATAATGCTGATGTGATGTAATTACACATACATGTAGAATTAAATAGACAATGAAAATATGTATTTAAGCTTCCTGTTCATTGCGAGATCCTGCGTTAAGGCGGTGGTCATAGTGGTACATGTACATGTGTGTATCTGAATATTGTGTTGGGTTCATCAAGTGCGAATTTTTTTTTGGGTATTTCCCACTTAATAATGTGCTATACACATTTAATGATGATCAATTTTGATGAAGTAAGGGTATCCCAAAGCAGTATTTGCCTCTTCAAGATCGGCATTTCGATGTTGAGCTTTGGACTACTTTCAGGACTATTTAAAACATGCCTTCTCATCAACTTTTAGACAACAATTAACACTTTGTCCAGATACATCACCATCAAGTGCGATTGAAATCTATTCACCATCTATCATTGTGCAGTTTTTTAATGTCTATGAGAGTCTGGTAAATTAAAACAACTCTGTCATGATGTGGGTCCCATGTGACATGGTGTAAACCATTACATTTTTGTCATTAGGAAAATCACAATTTAATGGTATTCATGAAGACAAAATTTTGGGAATGTTGCAGACACTTTGTATCATAGAATACTTGTAATACTTGTTATTTGTATAATAGTTTGCGGGAATTTGTGATTTTCCGTACAATTGCGAGATCTCGCGAGATGCATGAAAGATGCGCGTCGAACGTCTGCCGCAAAAATCGAACGATTTGATTTTGAACTAGAATTTCTTTATTTCGTAGCTTACATTGACCAGCCGATCTTCGACAGAGGAATATTGCTTCCGAATACCCTTACTTCATCAAAATTGCCTATCATCAAATGTGGACAGCACATTATTAAACATGGAAATGTCCCTGAAATACTTTCGCGTTTGTCGAATCCCACGCGATGTTTGTCACGACTACGACGCTATGACCTTTGTTTGTCCTGTTTTTACGTTCGATTTCACGCATAACGCGTGATTCTCGCAGTGAACGGAAAATGGTCTATTTGTCTCTCACATACTTAACACAGTTTACAGTGTATACAACGTGTGTATCCACTAAAATTATACTGCACAAGAGCAGTGGCGACACTTTAAAAGGCAAATGAAATGAATTTTGCGCTCCAGCACTAAATAGCAATGTCATATAAGATATACATTGATAAGTTCCAAACTGTTGTGAAGTTTTTTGGCAAAATGATGACAATCAACTTAAAAACAGACCAACTATAATGACGTTAATACATGTGTGCACATATTGAGTCAAGAATGTATTGGATGTAACTATATTTTTTCTCTTTTTAAAACTAAACATTTTCTGCTATGCCATGTCAATGGTTGTCAAACTCATAGCAAGAAATCTTTGCTAACAAGTCATGGTTAATAGCACCCTCGGAGTTCAATAGACCAATTTCCTGGAAGTCAAAGATACAGTGTTTCGCATCCGTGCATACATATGAGGTCAAACGTAAACTTGCACATTTCACAATAATAAAATCCTCAACTTTGACTTGTTTGTATTTTCCATCATGACAAACCAGGATTATTTTTGCACCCCAGTCTTGCTACTTCCGGGAAAGTGGTTTATCACTACAATGTGTTTCTTTGACCTGAACTTAACTTTGACTGCCCTATTATTACACTAATGATCAATAAACATGCAAATCAAATTGTAATTTATCTTTTCAGGAATTAAATACAAGTAAACATAATCTTAATGAGATTAGCCATTATTTATTTGATGGGAAGGGAAAAGCTTTTCGTCCAATGACAGTACTACTTTCAGCAAAAGCCTGCAACTACCACTCAGGACTATCCACTCAAGTGACTCAGTCACAACGTGAAGTGGCCATGATTGCCGAAATGATACACACAGCAAGTCTCATACACGATGATGTCATTGATGCTGCTGATACTCGCAGAGGAAAAGCTGCTGTCAATGAGATATGGGGACAAAAAAACGTATGTACTACTTTATTTTATACATCAGATGGCGTAATATGCAGCCTGATCACCTGATCGTATTGATATGTTGTTGCTACAAAATGTCTTTCAAAATGTTTTTCTCAAATGCACTGAAATTAGTTTCATGATATGTGAACCTTAAATGCAATTTGTCACAGAGATCTTTGGAGAGCAGGTGCATCACTTGTTTTCCCCCTCAAATTGTCTCTCATTCTCCCACCTCATCAAATCCAATGATCTAAACACCATGGTTAATACATAGGTCAGGGGAATGCTGGACTCAATGACAAGGGAGAGTGGCTCACTATTTGAGGGGCAAAACCAAGTCACATGGTTATTAACAAGTTCTCATTAGTCATTTGCATCTATCATCAACTGAATCGGTTTTCAGTATTTACTGATGATACGTGCAACATGATTGTTGTTTGTTTTATAATGCATGCTTTTTGATCAACTTTTTACTCCACTTCTTATAGGCTATATTAGTTGGTGATTTTATTCTGTCTAAGTCATCTGCATTGTTAGCAAGGATAGGGAATAAAGAGGTTGTTATTGTTATATCACAAGCCATAGATGATCTTGTTAGAGGTAAGTAGAGTAGTTTTACAAATCTTCTTTGTAATTTATTCTAATTTGCCTGACGAAATAATTTTTTCTCTAAAAACAAAAAAAAAACATTTTATAGTGTTATTTTATGTTGAGAAAACAATTTTGAAATAAAAATATAGTGATCAGTTATTACTCCAGCAGTCATACATGTATGTTCACCAATAACATGCATGGTGAAAAAATGTCATCTCTTTTCTTGATCTTTTATTAATATAAATCTATTGAGGTAGGTTTAAACTTTTCACCACCAGACTTTCTCGCCCAAATTTTTAGGCACTTTTTTCCCCTATATTCTTCAATATCTCTGGAAATGAACCTTAATATTGGAGTGAACTGACAAAATTTAAGTAATTTATATTAATTAATAGTTTTTAGGAAAGTGCAGACTATAAACAGGACTAATTTGTTAATATGTGATGAAAAGAGTGAACTGGTGGTAAAAAGGTTATAATTATTCAGCTCAATTGATTAGACACATGTTTTAATCTAGCTAATCATGAACCTGCTTTAATAAAAATTTATGTTTCTATTTAGGTGAATTTATGCAGCTTGGATCTAAAGAAGATGAGAATGAGAGATTTGCGCATTATCTACAAAAAACTTATAAGAAAACTGCCAGTCTCATAGCAAACAGCTGCAAAGCGGTAAATACATTGACATTTACAGTGGAAGGACATTGAAGTTCATCACACTACAATCATTGTGTATAAAACCTAATAAAACAAATTTGTTTCTGCACAGTTTACTTTTTTCACCACAATGATATTCATGACAGTTTATTGTATATGTGTTTTGGCTAAATTTAAACGTATAATTATGTCTTGTTGAATAAAATCTGTCAAGGCATGTCTGAAAAATGGTTAAGGAGACATAATAATGAAACCAACATGGCCATCAGTTGGACATTTTGAATCAAATCACAAAACAAAATCATAACATCTATGAATAATATTAGCCCAGACACGTCTCAAACATAAACGAATCATGCGTACAACACACTCAAGGAATTATCACTGTAAACTGACTGCTCAGTACACAGTTTTTGGACCAACTCGTTTCTATAATGTCTCTAAGTTTCATTGATCATTATTTAGTAAAGAAATCACTGAAATTATTTATTATATCCATAAAATATGTGCTGAACGTCAAATGACTTCGAAACGTCGAAGGTTGAACAAACTTCCGGTACTCCTTGCGCAATATGCGTCAGATCGGTGTTGAAAGAACGCCGACGTGCAGCGTCAATGCTATAAAATAGAATCACTAAATTATCCCACAATAGAACATGTTATGCGTATTAGGTAAAAAGCTCAAGAAATGGGTTAAATTATACCAAATTTCAACATAATCTGCAAAAGTGTATTATGAGAAACAATAAAAACAAGTAACATAACAGTTATTTTGATTAAGATCATGAATCAGTGAGTGATTTCAAGTGATGTCAAGTTTTAATGAAATTAAACCATACATGTATAAGAAATGGTTGATTTTTCATGTTATTTTGGACACAAAATTCCTATCAGTATTAATTTTTTCATCAAATTTGAACATGAACTGCACAACTACTGTAGTACTTCTAATAGCATATTGTATTTGTGTTAGGACCTCAGCACTTTTTAACATCCTGCTGTGTGTTGATCAGTGAATTCATTCATTAAAAAATTGATACTATACATGTAAGTCATCTAAGAACAATTCTATTTTGTTTCATCGCATGTTACTTTATCATGTACATACCCAGGATTGACTGCTCTCAGACCTAACCACTTTGTCGATAAAGCTATTTCTCCATGTGTTTCAGCTTTATTTGTTCTCTGCAGGTGAGTATTTTAAGTGGATGTAACCCAGCAATAGTTGAGATCACTTATCAGTATGGTAGAAACATGGGTATAGCATTCCAGCTGGTGGACGATATGTTAGATTACATCTCCAGTGACACTGTGATGGGTAAACCAACATCTACAGATCTTAAACTAGGATTGGCAACATCACCTGTACTCTTTGCTTGTCAACAGGTAATGTTCTTTGTGTTTTCAGTCTAAGTCTCAGTACCGTAAAATCTGTATTAGAAGCCGCATCTCTAATAGAAGTCACACCCATTCATTTTTAACAATTGAGACCCAAAAATTCACTATTTCTCATATGTGAAGATGCTCTAATAGAAGCCGCATCCTCTCTGTTGCATTGTACCATTTTAATAGAAGCCGTGACTTTTAATACAGATTTTACAGTAGTACTCAGCCCAACATATTAAGTATCTAGCCACTGTATCGCAGGTTTACCACATGGTTGGTCTCATTTACATGCACATGTATATATCTCACTCAAAGTGAAAAACATCCGAGCTATGGGTCATATCGTAATCTGTGTGTGTATTTCTCTTGCAGTACCCTGAGTTAAATGCCTTGATTATGCGTAGATTTAGTGAACCCGGTGACGTGGAAAAAGCGAGACGGCTAGTTGCTGAGGTAAGATAGGTTTTTTTTCATGGAGAAATTCTTGACAAAAGTTTTTGTGCATCATTCAATCAGTTGCTATAGTGAATGGACAATTGCCTGTATGCATGTGATGTCACTTATCTACAAAACAATTGTGCTGGCAAAATGAGCTTGTGTAGTGAGTGTGTTTTCTTTGAGTCACATGAAAGTTTGTTTTTTTTTCTGTCAAAATAGCGACCAATAGCGTTTATTTTAATTGACACCACTAAGCATGTGTTTAATTACATGTAGTCCCCATTCAGACACAGTCCAAAAACAGGACTAATGGATTGATCTCCTTTCATCCGTCTGCATATCCGTGTGTGCGTGGCCATCTCCATCTTGGATATGCCTGGCCGAATTATATACAAACTTCACACATACATCAAACACCTTAGCATACATATGCACATTTATTCATTTCATGATCTGACTCAGGATGGCCGAATCGTGGCTATGTTTATGCTTACTGATAAAATCAAGCATTTTGGCTATTTCGAAGCCAGATCTCGGTCATGTATAGATGGATTAATTTTAAACTTGGTACATCTATTGATTATAATGAGACTTTGATGCACATCATTTTGTTTTTCAGATTGGATACAAACAATATCTAATGATATCATTTTCTTTCTATTACAGACTGATGGTATTCAGCAAACCAGATATTTAGCACAGCAATATTGTAATGAAGCCATCAAACAAATCAGTGGTCTGGCAGAGTCTCCAGCAAGGAAGGCGTTGGTCACACTAACACATAAAATTTTAAACAGAATAAAATAGTTAATAGCTATTTTGGGTTTTCTACTAGATAGCATGAATGTATGTTCGTGTGACATCATTCACTGAAATCGTGTGGATGATGTGAATGTCACAGTAATTTTGAAGATGTGACAATACAGCAATGGTGAAGGCATGGAATCACTGTAATTTACCCATTAGTGTGACATCCCTGTAATTGCGTTGATATGACAATCACAGTAGCTGAGTAGATGTGACATCACAGTAGCTGAGTAGATGTGACATCACAGTAGCTGAGTAGATGTGACATCACAGTAGCTGTGTAGATGTGACATCACAGTAGCTGAGTAGATGTGACATCACAGTAACTGAGTAGATGTGACATCACAGTAGCTGTGTAGATGTGACATCTCAGTAGCTGTGTAGATGTGACATCAAAGTAGCTGTGTAGATGTGACATCACAGTAACTGAGTAGATGTGACATCACAGTAGCTGTGTAGATGTGACATCACAGTAGCTGTGTAGATGTGACATCACAGTAGCTGTGTAGATGTGACATCACAGTAGCTGTGTAGATGTGACATCACAGTAGCTGTGTAGATGTGACATCACAGTAGCTGAGTAGATGTGACATCACAGTAGCTGAGTAGATGTGACATCACAGTAACTGAGTAGATGTGACATCACAGTAGCTGTGTAGATGTGACATCTCAGTAGCTGAGTAGATGTGACATCACAGTAGCTGAGTAGATGTGACATCACAGTAACTGAGTAGATGTGACATCACAGTAGCTGTGTAGGTGTGACATCACAGTAACTTAGTAGATGTGACATCACAGTAGCTGAGTAGATGTGACATCACAGTAGCTGTGTAGATGTGACATCTCAGTAGCTGTGTAGGTGTGACATCACAGTACCTGTGTAGGTGTGACATCACAGTACCTGTGTAGATGTGACATCACAGTAGCTGTGTAGATGTGACATCACTGTAACTGAGTAGTTGTGACATCACAGTAGCTGTGTAGATGTGACATCACAGAAGCTGAGTAGATGTGACATCACAGTAGCTGAGTAAATGTGACATCACAGTAGCTGAGTAGATGTGACATCTCAGTAACTGAGTAGATGTGACATCTCAGTAACTGAGTAGATGTGACATCACAGTAGCTGAGTAGATGTGACATCACAGTAGCTGAGTAGATGTGACATCACAGTAACTGAGTAGATGTGACATCACAGTAGCTGTGTAGATGTGACATCACAGTAGCTGTGTAGATGTGACATCACAGTAACTGAGTAGATGTGACATCACAGTAGCTGAGTAGATATGACATCACATTAGCTGTGTAGATATAACATCACAGTAGCTGTGTAGATGTGACATCTCAGCTGTGTAGATGTGACATCACAGTAGCTGTGTAGATGTGACATCACAGTAGCTGTGTAGATGTGACATCTCAGCTGTGTAGATGTGACATCTCAGCTGTGTAGATGTGACATCACATTAGCTGTGTAGATATGACATCACATTAGCTGTGTAGATATGACATCACATTAGCTGTGTAGATGTGACATCGCAGTAACTGAATAGATGTGACATCACTGTAACTGAGTAGATGTGACATCACAGTAGCTGAGTAGATGTGACATCACAGTAGCTGAGTAGATGTGACATCACAGTAGCTAAGTAGATGTGACATCACAGTAGCTGAGTAGATGTGACATCACAGTAGCTGAGTAGATGTGACATCTCAGTAACTGAGTAGATGTGACATCTCAGCTGTGTAGATGTGACATCACAGTAGCTGTGTAGATGTGACATCACAGTAGCTGTGTAGATGTGACATCTCAGCTGTGTAGATGTAACATCTCAGCTGTGTAGATGTGACATCACAGTAGCTGTGTAGATGTGACATCACATTAGCTGTGTAGATGTGACATCACATTAGCTGTGTAGATATGACATCACATTAGCTGTGTAGATGTGACATCGCAGTAACTGAATAGATGTGACATCACTGTAACTGAGTAGATGTGACATCACAGTAGCTGAGTAGATGTGACATCACAGTAGCTGAGTAGATGTGACATCACAGTAGCTGAGTAGATGTGACATCTCAGTAACTGAGTAGATGTGACATCTCAGTAACTGAGTAGATGTGACATCACAGTAGCTGAGTAGATGTGACATCACAGTAGCTGAGTAGATGTGACATCACAGTAGCTGAGTAGATGTGACATCACAGTAGCTGAGTAGATGTGACATCACAGTAACTGAGTAGATGTGACATCACAGTAGCTGTGTAGATGTGACATCACAGTAGCTGAGTAGATGTGACATCACAGTAACTGAGTAGATGTGACATCACAGTAGCTGTGTAGGTGTGACATCACAGTAACTTAGTAGATGTGACATCACAGTAGCTGAGTAGATGTGACATCACAGTAACTGAGTAGATGTGACATCACAGTAGCTGAGTAGATGTGACATTGCAGTAGCTGTGTAGATGTGACATCACAATAACTGTAGATGTGACATCACAGTAACTGAGGAGATGTGACATCACAGTAGCTGTGTAGATATGACATCACAGTAGCTGTGTAGATGTGACATCAAAGTAGCTGTGTAGATGTGACATCTCAGTAGCTGAGTATATGTGACATCACAGTAACTGAGTAGATGTGACATCACAGTAACTGAGTAGATGTGACATCACAGTAGCTGTGTAGATATGACATCACAGTAGCTGTGTAGATGTGACATCACAGTAACTGAGTAGATGTGACATCACAGTAGCTGTGTAGATATCACTGTAATTGTGCAAATAAAAGGGTTGACTACAGTCTAATTCATAATGTACACATTCCCATCAGTGGTTTAAAATCAGCCAGCTGTCTTGTTACAATCCTCTGTTCATTCGTCCTGTCAGTTTTGGGTTATATGAACTTGAAAATGAATCCTTGTGCATAATAATTGATAATCTGTGTGCATATAATAAATGATTCTCTATAATTCTGCAAGGCTAATACTTTTTATACTTTTCTACTGTTATTTATTAGTCACGGATACCATGCAAATTAAGCATTGATTGCATTGTCACTGTTGAGATTACTATGAGGTTATTGTGAGTATACTGCAATGCAAGACAGCACAGTGAGAGTATAACGGTTGTTGATACAGCCACATGTTGTGTATACTTTGTGGTATCCTCATGACAAATTTGATAATATACATATTTATATATCTTTAATCTAGTAACTATGGAGCTCAGAATTAAGCAAGATGATAGAAATTATTGATGAAAGTGTATGCACCACTATTATAGCGAATACTGTTTGTGTGCGCTTTCTTTGGAGATGCCCTTGTAACAGAGCAAATACAGTTAAATCATTTGTTATGCATGTATATAGTGATGTTTTTTTGTAGAGTGACTGTGGTAGAAGTAATGAAAGTCTTAAGGTTCAAGCCGAATTCAAATGTTGCTCTACTGAGCATGTTACTACACATATATGCAATGCATTATGGGAGATAACTGTTTCTATTATATACAATGGGAAGTTATCACTTTGAAATTTCACTAAATTATGTGACAATTTATTTTCATAATATCATGATTCGTGTCAGTAATATATGACTTTTCATCGCATGTCATCGGGCAAAATTTTGAAAATCTCGCCATGGAAATCAGTCCAAAAATGTCAGTTTTGACCAATTTTCCATGACATTTTGGACACTTGAAAAATTGTTTAGTGACTTCCAATGTGCTTACATTTTTAATATCCTGATGGCATGAAGCCATAGTATTAATAGTATAAAGAACATAACATATACTGTAAAATGACTACCGGGTAATTTTCACTGGGTTTAAATTTCACTGATTTCCCATTTCAGGCATATTCAGTGGGTTTTAAATTCACGGTTTCGTCATTTAGATAATGTGTTCTATGCTAAATTTTACATATTCACTGGGTTTTAATTTAGCGCATTTTCCAGTCAGCGAAATAAGCTAAATTAAAACCCAGTGAATAATTAACCCCTTTACAGTAATCTTTAATTCGGCTTGAACCTTCTGAAGCTATTGTAAGGGATAAAGGATAAAGAAATGTTTAACCATGTATAGATACTGTGTTTGATGATTGTATTATCAGCACTCTTGTCATTGGATACTAAGCTACTGAGTGTGTATGGAATCTACATCACAACCAGACCCTGGTGGACTAATAAAGTTAATTTATTAAGTGCATATCAACCATTTGTAACCTTCCACAATTTAGGATGGACATTTATTTGCAATATTTCAGTGATGTTTAGGCTTATTCAGATTTATTAGTATTCAATTCAAGGCTCTTACTTGTGACCCCTGAATATAAAGACAACGTGACAAGTCTGAATGACTATTATGCTGTTGCAATATTCAACAAACCTTATAAAAGACAAAGTTCAGCCTTTAACAAATTTTGTTTTGGTGAAAACTTTACTCAGGGTCCTAAAGAATCATAGTCCCAGCTACTTTGATATGATGGCTGCTAAATAAGTAAATAAACCAGTTAGTTTTATAAAGCTATCAGTAGACATCCTGCTGTGTTTTCAGCCATCAAAACATTATAAAAAAATTGTGTCTCACACTGTGTGGACCTCTCTTGTTAGGATTCCATCCCCTGTATAACTTAACTTCACTTAAATGTTGTCATAATCTTACTGCATTTTTTAACATATCTAGCTGTGATTCATAATCCAATGACCAGTTGTATTCCCATTTGGTGGTTGCTTGCCGGTATGTTGCAAGAAAACATTAAGTTGATGAATGTTGCAAATCAGTTGCCTGTAGTTGTAGTGAATCCCTGAGTCACAACTACAACTTTTCATGATCATGAAAAAAAAATTGGTAAACTACAAATTCTAAAATATGAATAACACCCAGAATTGAAAATATTCATGTTTAAAAACATGCGAATCACAAATTTTAGAAATAATGATCGAAAGTAATAAACCTTGAACAAAAATAATAAACTGCAAGTGCACATCGATTTGAGAAAAATA